TTTAATCACTTTTACTATAAGGAAGAATTGAAAATAATTTAACTAATTAAGAAAGATCAAACTAAAAAGTGAGGTTTAACAGGATTGTACAAGGACATATTTGAATAGGTGAAACAGAAATAGAATTATACATGTATTTACAATAGTCGCTGAGAGTGGAAAGGCGTGTAAAAACCCTTGGAATGTTTGGTATTACTTAAGACTCGGGTTAACATTCTCATTAATTTCTTATAAATATTCATATCATTTTCGTCCATTTTGTTTTTAGAATACAATAAATGACCCAGTAAGTCTATTTGTTAATACAACTATAGTTGTAAAATACAGAACATGAAAGTAAGTAGGTGTCTGCAAACTAATCTTTGTAAACTATTACGAATTCATTTCTCCAGATTTAAATGATAAATATATAAATAAAATACTTATCCATCAGGTATTGCTGTGAATTACCTACTAGGGGCTTTAGTAATGATAAAATTAATACTGAAATAGATAAATAAATATAATATTTTTTTATTTTAATATTCCATTTAATTAATTATATTCTGATTTTTGGTACTTATTTCCAAAAATTGTCCGTAATTTATTGACATTCAAATTCTAAGTCTATTATTTACGAGAATGCTACTCCTGAGTTTTAGGTTTAGACAATGTTTAACGAAATATAAATCTACAATGTCTGAATTTAGATTGTAAGTTAGAATATGCACAGTTTGAGTGATAAAATATTGGTAATACAAAACCAGTTATTGTAATGCTAATATATAAAACTTATATTTTTTATATTTTTTCATAATCTTCCGTAACCGTCTAAGAGGCCTAACACAACAGCCTTCTTTAGGCCTATTTACAAAATAGGACTCTTAATTATGGTAATAAGCACAACGACCTATAAACTTTTGGAGCTTAGCGAAATGTAAACTTCAAATGCCTGAAGTTATTCTCCAGACTTCCAACGCTGAAATCTATGGTTTGATTCCTCGCGATGGACAGAGCGCATATAGTCCTCAGTTATCTTAATTTAGAGTCTGGATTTTAAAGATGGGCCTAAATGATATCAAGATGTAAAATGAATAATACGGGTTGCGAATCACCAACAAACTGTAAAAAAATTAAAAATATCATACTTCTATAAAGTGGATGTAGAATGTTCCTGGTTAGGCTGGTGCCGTTCTTCGGATAATGTCGCGATTTTATCTGGATTTAAAAGGATATTAAACCTCGTAGATCATAAAGTCATGCCACAGTAAAAACACTTGCAAAGTTTAGTCAGATATTACTAAATGACTGTACAATTGTAAATAACAAACATATTAAACCTACATGAGGTTTTTTTTCCATAAACAAACAAACTTGTGTAAGGCAGAGTAGTTAAGTTTGCTCGAGTCCGTTCGAAATCGGTAAAAAAAAGGTAAACAAACTTAGCACATGGTCTGTATGAGATGGGTACTCACTCTTTGATCTTGTGGGGCCAAAAAGAATTATAAATGTTAAAGATATATACAATTTGATAATAATAATAATTTTCTAATACAAAGCGATATGATATTATTTTCAACTTTACTCTGAATTCGTAGGATTTTATACATAAAACCAAAGTAACAAAATTAGAAACAAATGTTTGTTTCTTTTGAATTTCGCGCAAAACTACACGAGGGCTATCTGCGCTAGCCATCCATAATTTAGCAGTGTAAACCAGAGGAAAGGCAGCTAGTCATCACCACCCATCGCCGACTCTTGGGCTAATATTTTAACAACGAATAGTGGGATTGACCGTCACTTTATAACGCCCTCAGGGATGAAAGGGCGAGCGTGTTTGGTGTGAGGGGGATTCGAACCCGCGACCCATAGATTACGAGTCGAGCGCCCTAACCACCTGGCCATGCCGGGCCTAGAAATAAGTGGCAGTTTGTTTTTTTCGTTAACAACTTCTTAATATAAATATAACATAACTATTTGTTACCTGTGAGTGTTTTCTGTGTATTACCGATGTGTGTTATTACACGTAAAACTACATGTACAACTAATACCCCTGACAATAAAACTGTATCTCTTCAAAAATTTCACCTTGTTCGAAATGAGTATTACATTAGGTAAAGCATCATTACTTGCCAGAAAAATTATATATGATCAAATTTCTTAAAAATAACGATACGGAAAATTTCAATGAGAAACGAAATAACCGCTCAAAATCCACGGTTCAGACTCTGGGGTTTGACTTTTCTACGCCCCCCAGTAGCACAGCGGTATGTCTGCGGACTTACAACGCTAGAATCCAGGTTTCGATACCAGTGGTGGGCAGAGCACAGATAGCCCATTGTGTAGCTTTGTGTTTAACTACAAACAAACAAACAAACAAACAATGATTTCTCTTTACAGGATACTTAAGCAGTCTATAAAAATGACAAACTGTTGTTATTCTTAAATATGGTTGACTAGTCAATAGTGTAGCAAATCTTCCCCACGATCAATAAATATAGAATAAATATAGAATGAGCACGAAGTGCACTACAATAAACTTTAGGCTTTGCCTCTTCTTGTCACGTGGGCATGACGTCACATGCATACCCTCTATTTGTTAAGTTATCGTCCGTCTTCCCTAATTTTGAACTGTCAACCACGGAGAAGGTAACCGGTCAGACACATCAAACGTCAACTCTTGGGTTACTTTTTATCAACAAATAATAGGATTGTCCGTTTCATTGCCACATTATAACGCCATAAGACTGAAATGACGATCATGTTCGGCGACAGGATTCAATAGAAATTTCTTATGGAAGAATACATGCTAAACGTGTTATGTAAAATGCTGAAACACAAGTGTTTTCAATTACTTTTATGATACTTAGAGAAGAGCAGAATGGAAGGGAGGGAGACAGTCTGGTTGATAACGTTGTTGTGTTGTAAATCTTGCAACTTGCGTGAATCAGTTCGCCAATTGATTGAACCGACTTGAGTGCTTTTACACTGCCCCCCAGTAGCACAGCGGTATGTCTGCGGACTTACAACGCTAGAATCCGGGTTTCGATACCCGTGGTGGGCAGAGCACAGATAGCCCTTTGTGTAGCTTTGTGCTTAATTACAAACAAACAAAGCTTTTACACTAAATAACTAACCTTCATTCATTGTTTCTTTGGTATTACAAATTTAAACTAATAGTTTCTATTTCACAGAGTATATATATATATATATATA